GAAGACCTCCTATTCAAAGATGGACGAAGCCTAAAAAGCCACTAGGAGAGACTATTAGGCCCCATATTAGAGTAGAAAGGATTTTCTGTACAAAAATAAGGATTTTTGCCTTCAGGGGTCGAGACCGCCGTCTCGACCAATGGCAAGTCGAGACCGCCGTCTCATTTGGCAAGATCGTCGTCTCGCCACTTACAATTGGCGAGACCCCCCTCCTATTTGGCGAGAAGGCCTTCTCGCCATTTGGCAAGTCGAGACCGCCGTCTCGCCAAACGAGACCGCCGTCTCGCCACTTATTCAAGTTGAGACCGCCGTCTCGACCTGACAGGTGTGAATCCCTATAAATAGGGGGCGCTCTCCCCTTCATTTCACAGAGCTCTTCCACCTTCCCTTCTGCAATTTCTCAAAATTCTTCTTTTAGAGCCCCTCCGAAGCATTTGCTGGAGTTTCTGAGTGTTTAAGAGACTTTTTATAACGTTTCGAGAGAGAATTTGACGTTGTAAGAGCGAAAGGCTGCCAAAACGCACCCTATTTTTCAAGAAACTTAATCAAAAGCTTGTTTCGGAGGTTTCTTCATTCTCTCCCTCTCTTTTACTGTCCTTTTTACTTATATTAAATTTTGCAATAGCTATTAGGGCCATGTAATCATTATTTTTAATTCCGCAAATAAAAGGGTAAAAACGTCATTTTAAAAGTTTATTTATAAAATAACTGGCCTGTCATAGGGAACCCGAAAGGGGTGTCGTAAGGGAGTTAAAACCTCTCTTACACGTAACTAACTCCCTTACCCAACTCTGGTTTTAACGACCGAAGTTGGTTTTTCTAAGAAACCAACGCCTTTTTATCCCCTTTTTTGATGTTTCTGGTAAAAACATCGGTGGCAATTCCATAAGAACCCTTTCAAATTTGTTCTTAGGTCAGCCCGGTTATCGGACGACCTAAGAACACCCTTTCGAAAACTTTGCCCTTAGGTTCAGCCCGGTTATCGGACAACCTAAAGGCGTTATAACCTCACCCATAAAAACACGAAAAAACAGAAAGTCGGAATCATCGCGTCGCTCCAACCGCCTCTTTTGACGGCGACGACAAGCAAAATGTAATTAATGCCCCCATACTTACTTTGCCAAAGTTTCAAAAATCTTTTAAAATTGAGTGTGATACTTCAAATGTTGGGATTGGGGTTGTGTTCTTGCAAGAGGGTTATCCAATTGCTTATTCTGATAAAAAATTAAGTGGTCCTACCCTTAATTGTTCAATCTATGATAAGGAGTTGTATGCCTTATTGAGGACTTTGAAAACATGATAACACTACCTTTATTCCAAAGAATTTGTCATTCATAGTGACCATAAGTCCCTCAAGTAACTCAAGGGACAAGGTAAGCTGAATGAAAGGCATGTCAAGTAGATGAAATTTCTAGAGCAATTCTCTTATGTTATCAAACATAAAAGGGGACAAGCTAACGTTGTAGTCAATGCTCTTTCTCGGTGTCATGCTTTGCTTTCTATGCTTGAAACAAAATTTATTGGTCTCGAATGTTTGAAAAACATGTATGAAAATGATGAAACATTTAGTGAAATTTTTAAACAATTGTGAAAATTTTTCAGAAAATGGTTTCTTTAGACATGAAGGTTTTTTGTTCAAAGAAAACAAATTATGTGTGCCTAAATAATCCATAAGAAGGTTGCTTGCTAGTGAAGCACATGAAGGAGGTTTAATGGGACATTTTGGGGTCCAAAAGACTAGAAACATTACAAGAACATTTTTATTGGCCTCATTTGAAAAAGATTGTGTAGAAATTTTGTGAACATTGCATTGTTTGTAAAAAAGCAAAGTCAAAAGTTAAGCCTCATGGATTGTATACTCCATTGCCAATTCCAGAGTATCCTTGGATTGATTTATCCATGAATTTTGTTTTGGGGCTACCAAAAACAAGCAGTGACAAAGATTCAATTTTTGTGGTTATTGATAGGTTTTCTAAAATTTCTCATTTTATTCCATGAAAAAATTGAATGATGTTTCTCATGTGGTTGATTTGTTTTTCAAGGAAATTATGAGACTCTATGGTTTGCCAAGGAGCATTGCTAGTGATAAGGACACTAAGTTCCTAAGCCATTTTTGGAGGATCTTGTGAGGCAAGTTGGGATCTAAATTGTTATTTTCAACCACTTGTCACCCACAAACCAATAGACAAACAGAAGTTGTTAATAGGACATTGGGAAAATTGCTTAGGACATTTTTGAGGAAGATTTTAAAGATTTGGGAAGTTTGTTTACCCCATGTTGAGTTTGCTTACAATAGAGTTGTTCATTTCACTACTAATTGTTCTCCTTTTGAGGTTGTTGAAAGCAATGAGGAGGAGATTGATGGTAATGTGAAACATGTCTCTACATTCCCAAGAGTTGATTCTGATGATGATTCAAGTCAACAACATTCAAGACTCAAGCAAGTCCAAGATATGATTTTGATAAAGATTCTATTCAACATTCAAGCAAGCCCAAGATGATTCCTAAAGACTAGATAGAGTCTTAGAATACTGGATATGGAGGTACAAGTTGATGAAGTGGTATTATGCATAAGCCTCCAAAGCACAAGTGTGATAAAATTTAATAACATGACATTTTTTTTTTCATAATTGATTATGATGCATCAAAAATGAGAAATTGATTTTTACCCCGACATAATCGATTATGCTAAGGAGATAATCGATTATGGCAGTTCGAAATTCAAAAATATATCTGTTTTGAAGAATAAATGTTTTTGAATATATCCTGATTCTTATCCACGAAAATATTAATGTCCAATGGCCATTTTCTAATCTATTTTTCTATTTAATTAAGTTTTGATGGAAAATAAAAAACACACAATTATAGAATTCGAAAATACAATTTACATTCAATCAGTTTTGAGAAAAGAATTTTGAACAAGGCAATACAGATATTTTACATGTTTTGAGAAAACCCTCTTCTCCATTGCCTATTGTGCTTTCATTATTAATCACACTTGTTCTTGAAGGTTGGCATTCTACAGGCTTATACAATTTATTTTCTCCATTACCCAGGTGTGATTGTTCTTATTTTATTACCTTCATCCTTTATGAGCTTAAGTGGTTGATTGTTAAATTCCCTGTTTAGGGTTTAAGTAGTCACTATCATTCTGTTGTGTTTTTTTTTTGGGTTTCTTGTGTGGAAATTGTTCATCCCTTTGATTTGTTCAGGGAGGTGTTTTCATCCTTTGATTTGTTCAGAGGAGGTGTTCATCCTTAGTGGGATTTTAGGGAGGTGTTCATCCTTAGTGAGTTTCTAAGGAAGTAATTGTCTTTTGAATTAGTTTACTTTTTGCTGAGTTGATTGTAATTTGTGAACTGAATTTAAAAGATAGTGATATGGGGTCACTCTTGTGTTAAGAGTTGACTGGGAATTGGATGTAAGGTTGGCTATACTCGAACCAATATAAATCACTGTGTGCTCTTCTCTTTCCATTATCTCTTTTTCACTTCATTACTCTCCTTATGCCCTTTATTTTTATCTCTATCTTTCTCTATCTTGTTGATATTTTATCTCTCTGATTATATCGTTTCCGCTTTATCTTTGTTCAATTTGATAATTAAAATTGAATTAATAAATATTGGACATCTTAAAATAAATTTTTAATTTGGCATCTATTTTAATTTGTGCATCTATTCACCCCCTTCTAGATGTCATTTGTCTAACAGTTGTTTATGGTTTTAACCCACTAACTCCTCTTGATCTTTTGCATATGCCTAATATTTCAGTTTTTAAGCATAAAGAAGGTCATGAAAGAGTCAAAAATTAGATTGAGAAAAGAAATGAAAGTTATGCTAAGCAAGCCAACAATGGGAGCAAGCCAACTATATAAAGAAGATTGTTTAGGTGCACATGAGAAAGGAAAGGTTTCCAGAACAAAGGAAATTAAAAAGTCAACCAAGGGAGAATGGTCCATTGCAAGTGCTTGAAAGAATGAATGACAATGCTTACAAAATTGAGTTTCCCAGTGAGTATAATGTTGGTTCCACATTCAATGTGTTTGACTTATCTCTTTTCAATGTAGATGGTGAATTTGATTTGAGGACAAATCATTCTTAAGATGTAGAGAATGATGGGAACATGACCATGAACAAAATTGTGAATTACATCATAGGCCAAATGGAGGAGGACTAATGCGTCACTTTGTTTTAGTCTTTAATTATGTTGTTTCCTCTCGATATCTCATCTTTATCATTTTGCACCACGAGTCTCGATATTCTCTACTCTTCAACTTTCAATATTGGATTAATCACACCTATGACATTTTATCTTTCAATATATTTCTCAACCCCTTTTTTTATAACCTTTATTCTTTTGAATACTTCCTAATTATTCGCATATGTACTTTCAATCCCATAAATCATGTTTAAGTTTTCCTTTTCTTACAATTTTCTTAAATTAATATCGATCATCAAATTTTCGATATCTCTAATTACTAATTGTTTCTTTTGATATATTGTGTCATTTTACTTGAATGTTCTCCACTCTTTAAATTCTTAATTTTCTATTAATGATGCTCTGTCTATTTTGATATCCCCAATCATCTTCTTTCGATAACACATTGTGATCAACTTTCTATTTTCATAATATACTTTTTATCAATTATCACATTTATTCTTTATCATTATCGATATTTTCTTTCTCGATTTATTTTTTAATCTATTTGTAATTTAGACTTAACAATTTTTAATTAATGTAAAATTTTAATTCATATTTAAACTTCAACATCTATGATCCAACAAATTCTTAGATGTAATAAAATCAAACATAATATTAGAATAACCCATTAAATGAAAATGATATTTATTATTGAATATTTACCTAAAAACAATGTGACATATTTACAAATAAGATATAAGATAACTATAAAAGAAATAAAGATATTTACACTCTTAAAATTGTTAAATTTGTAGGTGTTTTTACTAGTATATTATTTAACATTTTAATTTCTATTAGAGGTGGGACTCAACCTCTTGTTTGGATTCCAATAATATCTCTTGTCATTTCACATAGTTACCCACCCTCTATTAAATATAGTTACCTTTTTAGCACAGGTACTTACCCACTCTGTTAAGGATAAGTAACCCTTGTTTATATCATTATTTCCTTAGAACACACCATCACTTTTGGCATCATTCTAAGTATATGTAAGAGGGTAATATTGGACAAATAAGACAATCACATGAAACAATAAGACAGATGCACCCCTTTCATATATCTAAAAGTGGTATCAAAATAAAAATTTACTTTAACAACGTACTTAACTAAATACAAGATAAAGTAAGTGATCTATATCGATCTAATTAAATTAAAGTATAATACAAAATTATTGTAATAGAAAAAGTACGCACAATACCTACAATACTTCACTTTTATTTTATATATATACTAAATTATTATCTAAATAGCATATATGTGTAAATGATCTAAATTTTATTAGATAATATCAAATGTACTAAGTTTTTAATAAATTAAAATACTATTGTTTGTACTCGTATTTCTCATACATGTGTGGGTGTAGTCTTTACCTTTATGAATGAATCTATAATTTAATTACTATATCAATGAACCGCTCACACTTATATAGGCGTATTCTCAGACACATTTTTTTTCTCTATGAGTATATTATGTGGGTGAAACCACAACCTTGTGAACATTCCTTTGATGCAATTTCTAAGATGTATACCCTTTATGTTATGTAAAACCTTCTTGTCCATGCTTCATATTGACAAATAAAAGAAAATATTTTGGTTTACATAACTTTTTTATTTCTCCTAAATTTGCAAATTTTATGCATGGTATCCAATAAATATTTCTTCCATTTTGGTTCTCCAAAAACATGTTATTTCGATTTTGGTCCCAACCATTGTATTTGCATATGTCAAAGGATAAGTTATCAATTACGTTAACAGCTCAAAAGAACTAACATGCTGTTTTGCTTTTGATCCTAACGAAATTTTACATTTTTTCATTTTATAATTCTAAATATTTTTTTCTCATTTTAATCTCTTATAAAAATATTATTTCTATTTTGTTATCTTTGTAGTGATGGATTTTCTGTTAAGTGACCAAATTAGCAACTAAGTGATCCAAATAATATTGTTTTACTTCAATTAGGTTTTGCATTTCCTATTTCTTTGAGTCTTCAAACCAAAGAAAGGAATATAAGTTTTTTTTATCTTAAAAAATATAAAATATAAATTTTGTTATATCATATCATTTTTAATCAATTTATATTTAATTTTACTCAAATAATTCTTTTAAATAAATTTTTAAAAAATCATTTTTTCTTATTATTTCTTATAATTTATTTTATTTTATTTATTTTTATATAACTCTAAATAAACTTGTAACGACCCTAGAAATCGTTACTATAATGATGCATTCGCAAAATAGTAAACAAGTAAATAACGACATCTTTCTTACATTATATTACCGTAATTGTAACATAGATTGAAATTTCGGTTCACTAACGGAACCTCAAAATATAGTAACATAATTTATTTATATATTATACATGTAAAAGTAGCTCCCTCGAAGTTATCCCACTGAACTATCCCTATTGTCCAGTAGTCACATCTCTATCTCTCAACTCCTGATCTGCTCCCACATAAAAGTGATCATCACAGTCTCATCCACATAGAAAAATAGGGGTAAGTATTAAATCATTCGATATAATAAAATAGATATAGAAGTAATAATTATATATTATGATCAATTACGAAATTATCAACACACTAAGACACCTTCCGGAAGTATGCCCTAACTATGCCCGAACTCAGAGGCTATCATCTGTGGGCACATTGTGATCGGCACCCGCAGTACCATTCTGACCACCCTCTACACAGAGTAGGATTACTGGTGCCCTTCATCACTCATAATGGAGTACCCCTCCGAGCGCGCCACCAGTCATCCCCTCATCGACTTCTCACCACCTGATCTCGTAGTCTACCTGACCCGACCAATTAGTGAAGTCTAGGACCTCATTCAGAATCCTCCGACATAGTTATCACACTAAAGTACTCTGTACCACCCCGGGTACCAATCAAACACAACAAAAATCATTCACATTTGTCAGATTCTGGACTACCTGTCCTCACGGCTCATTCAAGTCAATAAATAATAGTACTTCTCTGATTCTGGGCACCAACCCTCCGGCTCAGTCTAGCCAATACATAACATCTCATGACTGATTATGGGCATCAACCCTTAGACTCAGTCTGACTCATACACGTTACAACACACTACGAGAATCTTTAAAACTGCTACATTCATTCTATATTTTAAATATATATATATATATATATATATATATATATATATATCTTCTTCTTTTTCGAAATCCTTTCCGAAATCACTTTCGAAATCACTTCCGAAATCATTTCCAAAATCATTTCCAAAATCTTTTCCGAAATCATTAAATTACTATTTTGCCCTTAATCTTTTCCGAAAATTCCATCTATGTCCCTAAATAACTATTTTACCCTTGGACAATTTCGAAAATTCCTTCCATGTCCCAAAAATGACTATTTTTCCCTTGGACATTTTCAAAAATTCCATTTATGTCCCTAGGATGTAAAATGACTATTTTACCCTTGACCATTTTCAAAAATTCCTTCTATGTCCCAAAAATGACTATTTTACCCTTGAACATTTTCAAAAATTCCTTCCATGTCCCTTTCTTCTTCCTCGCGCCAGTAACAGTATCAAATTTTTGCAGATTTTGGCAGATTTCAAATTACTCAGTTTTAGACAACCAAACTAGTCCCAAATTCAAATTAAACATGAATTATATCTAATTTAAGTTGAAAACAACAATTTTACCATATAATTCATCCTTAATTTTAAGAATTTCAAAAAAAAAACTTTCAAACGGTAAACAGTTCATCAGAATCAGAAATTCTTCAAAATCAGACATTCAAGGCATTCAAATAATTCATATCTTTACTCATATTCCTTATTCACAGAGTACCCAGCAATTCAATTTCATATATTGAATGAATTAAATTTCCCCTTACCTGGTGTTGTATTTCTACTGAAGCTTTCCCACATAATTCAAACTCTCTCCTGTTTCACCAGATCCTACAAGAGTATAGTATCGTTGCTTGAAATTTAGACAAAAGAAGAAGAAGGATGAGAGGAAAATTTTGATTCTGCTTCCTCCCCCGCTTCAGTATGCATATATAAGAAAAATTTTACTGTGCATGAGGAAAACTTCGTTACGAAGTTTTCTTGCACAGTAATATTAATATAATAGTAAAATAAAGCATACGTCACAATCTCCCCTCCACAAAATTTTTCGTCCTCGAAAATGAACTTACTTGGAAATAGATATGGATAAGACTCTCGCATCTGATCCTCCATCTCCTAAGTGAAGTCTTCAGATTTCTGATCCCATACTACCTTCACCATTGAGATGGTTCTACCTCTAAGTTGCTTCAGCTGAGAATCCTCTATCCTCATTGGTCTCACATCAACGGAGAGATCGTCTCTAATCTGCACATCGTCCGACTCCAGGACATGACTGGAGTCATGTACATATTTCCTCAACTGAGATAAATGAAATACATTGTGCAGATTCGCCAAATGAGGTGGCAACGCTAACTGATATGCCACTAGACCTACCTTCTTCAAAATCTGATATGGGCCAATACACTTGGGAGTCAACTTCTTATATTTAATTGCCCTTCCTACTCTAGTAGTAGGTCTGATTCTAAAAAATACATGGTCTCCCCCCTTAAATTCCGAAGGCCTCCTCCTCTGGTCCGCATATGATTTTTGTTTACTCATAGCGGCTCTCAGCTTCTCTTGTACCTCCTGGACCTTCTCTGTAGTCTGCTGGAGTAGCTCAGGTCCGATCAACAATTTCTCTTCATCCTGATACCAACATAAAGGTGTTTGACACCTCCTCTCATAAAGAGCCTCATATGGTGTCATTCCGATACTGGCACGATAGTTGTTATTATATGTGAACTCTATTAATGGAAGGATATCATCCCAACTTCCTAGATTATCCAACACACAAGACCTCAACAAGTCTTCTAGTGATTGGATGGTCCTCTCTGACTGTCCATCTGTCTGGGGGTGATAGGCTGAACTCAACTAAAGTCGGGTACCTAATTCCTCTTGTAAAGTTTGCCAGAATCTTGAAGTAAATCTAGGATCCCTATATGAGATAATGCTAGATGGTACCCCATGTAATCGAACAATCTCGCGAATATATAGTTGTGCCAGCTTAGCCACATATATCCTCAGATTTATAGGGAGGAAATGTGCACTCTTCGTCAATCTGTCCACTATCACCCAGATCGAATCATTCCCCCGAATTGTCCATGGTAAATGGGTAACGAAATCCACAGTAATGCTATCCCACTTCCACTCAGGTATCTCCATTTGTTATAGCATTCCTCCCGGCCTCTGGTGTTCCACCTTTGCTTTCTGACAAGTCAAACAAGCAGCCACATACTGTGTAATATCTCTCCTCATACCAGACCACCAATAAACCTTCTTCAGATCCTGATACATCTTAGTCATACCAGGGTGTAAACTCAGATGACTCTGATGACCTTCATCTAGTATTGCTCTCTTCAATTCCTGGTCAACAAATCCTTCCTCTGAATCTCAGAATATTATCCTCACCCATCTTGTAGTCAATGGTCTGCTCGGATCCTAGCTGATCCATAAAACCTTTCAACGTCATATCATCCTATTGTCTATCTCTGATCATCTCGAGAAAATCATTAATAATGGTAATGCTACCATAACTAATGCTAGTATCACGAAACTCTACATCTAGATGCAAATCCCTAAACTTCTCAAGTAATCTCAATTCATCCATCATCATTGCTGACATCTGAACTGCCTTCCTACTCAAGGCGTCAGCCACCACATTCGCCTTTCCTGGATGATAAAGTAATTGAAAGTCATAATCCTTCAGAAACTCCATCCATCTTCTCTGTCTCATATTTAGCTCCTTCTGATCGAATAAATACTTCAGGCTTTTGTGATCACTAAAAACTTCAAATCTGACTCCATAAAGGTAATGTCTCCACATCTTGAGAGCAAACACCACTGCTGCTAGTTCTAAGTCATGAATGGGATAATTCCTCTCATGAATTCTAATTTGTCTCGACGCATATGTCACCGCCCTTTTATCCTGCATCAAGACACAACCTAACCCCTGAATAAAAGCATCACAATATACCTGAAAAGATTGAGTCACATCTGGGATCACCAACACTGGGGAACTAGACAATCTTCTTTTCAGCTCCTGGAAACTCTCCTCACATCTATCTGTCCAAGCAAAAGGTTGATCCTTACGGGTCAACTATGTCAAAGGAGCTGCTATTTTAGAGAAACCCTCTATAAATTTCCGGTCATATCCTGCAAGTCCCACAAAGCTACGTACTTCAGTCACTGTCTTAGGGGGTTCCCATTTTAACACTGCATCTACCTTGGTAGGATCTACAGATATCCCTTCTGCCGATATTACATGTCCCAAAAACTGCACCTGGTCTAACCAAAACTCACATTTTGAAAGTTTGGCATACAATTGTTTCTCTCTTAACACAGCCAACACCGCCCTCAGATGTTCCTGGTGTTCTTCCCGAGTTCTAGAATAAATAAGAATGTTGTCTATAAAAACAACAACAAACTTATCTAAATAAGGACGGAAGATCCTGTTCATGTAGTCCATAAATACTGCAGGTGCATTTGTTACTCCAAACGACATGACCACATATTCATAATGGTCATATCTCGACCTGAACGTCATCTTCTGTACATCCTCTTCTTTAACCAGTATCTGATGCTATCCAGATCTCAAATCAATCTTAGAAAAGATTGATGTTCCCTGTAACTGGTCTAATAAATCATCAATCCTCAACAACGGGTACTTGTTCTTGATAGTCATCATGTTTAGTTGTCGGTAATCAATACACAATCTGGAGCTCTCATCTTTCTTCTTTACTAGCAATAGAGGAGCGCCCTAGGGAGATACACTCGGCCAAATGAACTTCTTTTCCATCAAATCCTCTACCTATTTCTTCAATTCAGCCAATTCTGCTAGAGCCATCCGGTATGGTGCCATAGAGATTGGGCCTGAACCAAGAATTAGATCAATCACAAATTTGACCTCTCTCTGAGGTGGCAGCCTTGGTATCTCATCTGGAAACACATCAGGAAATTCACTCACAACCAGTACCTCTTCCAAGATATTATCCTTCACTTCATCCATCTGAGTCAGGATCAAATAACACTAAGCTCCCTCTCGCAGCTCTTTCTAAACCTGTCGAGCTGATGTAATAAGCTCGTCTCCTGATTTCGGATGCACCAACCTTTTTTGTCCATAGTCAATTAGAATGTGATTAGTGCATAACCAATCCATCCCTAAGATCATATCCATATCCTTCAAAGGTAAACCGATTAAGTTCACCTTGTACTGTTGTCCTTCTATGACAACTGGGCACCTCAAACACACATAGGAAGACACCACCAGTCCAGCTACTGGTGTAGATACCCTCAATTCATAGGGTAGGTCACACATAGGTAACTTAAGTTTATCCATACAATTATCAGCAATAAAAGAATGGATAGAACCTAAATCAAACAAAACTCGTAGAGGTATATCAGAGATAAAACACACACCTTGCACTAAATTCTCTGACCTCGATGTCTCTGCTCATGACAAGGCAAACACCCGTCCTACAGCTCTAGGTTTTGCGTTACTCCCCCTAGGTTCTAATGATGCCTCAGCTGAGACTATAGCACTGGGCTTCTGTGGACAATCTCTAGTAATATGTCCTGGCTTCTAGTAAGTGTAGCAAAGACCTGTCCGAGAAGTCTGGGAAGGAG